TTCAGCGACCAAGAGCGAAAGGCCTTCACCGCGTCCACCGGCTTATAACGTCGGGGCTGACGCAGACCTGAGCGCCTGCAAGTACTCCGGCGCTTCGGTCTGCGACTGACCAACCCCGCCTCGTCCGGCCTGTCCTCATCCGAACTCGGGGACTCGCTCCAACTATCTTCCCATTCGCTTGCCGATGGGCACCTCGGCCTATACTTCTCCCTAAATTCCCCTGGGTCGGCAAACCGTGGCCTGGCCCGCGGCGACGTTCCCTCGGTTTTCACAGCGTAATTCTCTCGCGCGCCGCCCTTCAACAGTTTCCTAACTAAATCTTCCCAGTTCTTCATGGCCTCTCCAACCTCGCGCGGCAGTGCCGGGGTGCTCGTTCTCCGGTCGAACGACCCCAATACTCTCTCCTCGGTGGCGTCGCTCTCTACTTCGGAGAAAAATTCGTCTTCCGAAACCGGCTCTCGCGAGCTACTTTCCCTCCTCCGGCGCGACGCAGAGCGAGATCGTCGCTTCTCTCGCGCCCGTCTACGTGGCGTCCGCGTCGTCGTCATGTCCTCGGCGCGCGGCGCATCCCGCCTACCCGCCTGCATCTCTAACGCGGCCTCTTCTACGCGATATAAATTATTCGCGCTTTCCGATAATGCTGCACGTACTTCCCTCCGCATAACCAAGCCAGGCAGGCTTACGACGATGTTCCACGCCTGTCCGAAAACATTCGGCCCTCCCGCGGCACCCTGGAACGCCACCTCTCCGTGAGACGCCAACTCTCTCCTCGCATCGGCGAGCGCCGTCGCCCCAGCATGTGATGCAACTCGGGCGTTATCCTGCCCGTCTTCGCTCCCATGCTCTGGCCCGCTTCTCTGCGCTGCTACCGGCGGCGGCCACTCGTCCGAGGATGTCAAGCTTTCTCGCCTGCGAATTAACGCAGGCTCGATCTGGCCCTCCAGACGTCCGTGGCTCACCTCGCCTCTATCAGGCTGCAGGTCCATGTTGACCTCACGCGGTTCCTTCCGCAGAATAGCCTCCGGCGGGCCCGGCATAACGCCCGACTCAAAGTCACCCGGACTCAGGGGCGGATTAAGCTCCGGCCGTTCACGCGAGATCATGTAGCGCAGCATGCGCTCCTGAAGTTCCCCGAAGCTACCCGTCACGCTAAGGCCATAGCTCTTAAGGAGACCCAGCAACTCCGCGGGCGGCGTTTCGTTGATTCGCCGCTTAAGAGCCCGCACCGACCTATCCTTTAATATTTCGTGCATAATCGCGCCTGCCGTCCCGCTTGGCGGCATCCTGACAAGCCCCCTGCTTCTCACACCGCCCGAACGCCCGATCTAATATCCCGCTCGCGATGTGGGCACAACCGACGACCGCGTCGCGCAACTGTCCAATTATAAAACGAAATTAAACAAACAAAAAAAACACTAGCGACCAACACTAACTTGCCCTAAATTATCGTCCGGCCAATTCTCATCAACGGCGGATGCGACTTCTACGCATTCGCTTTCTTTCGTTCGTCCGTTACTCAATAAATAATATAAAATAAGCTTTCAGGCAGTGCGAATTATACGCACTGCTCTGCGTCCTTAATTTCAATATAAAACTCAAAATAAAAACACAAATACTAACTACTCTCTCACTCGTCGCGGTTCCCAGGCAAGGGCGCACCTTTATAATCCGCTGATCAAAACAGATTAGTACCCAATGGCCATATCGTTTAAGTATCTAACTACGCTAACAACACCCGCTTCTTAAATGGACTCGTCTATCCGTCCTTTTACTGGCCGTATACCATGGGTATGATGAATAGTAGCCTTCGACACGTTAGGTCGATGACTCACTCGCCCGTGCCTGAGTATAGCGACGGCAACACAACTATGCTACAATTTCGGCCTCGTATCTCTCTCTCGATCGGCGCTCTCTGTGAACCCGAGATGAGGAATGTAAACAAACACCGCTCGAGCCGCGACTCAACGCAGCTCGGCCGATCGTTCGATCACCTCCCCTCTCGGCGTCAACCAACCTTTTCAAATTCTTTTGTCTACGCAAATTACTTTTCTATCTTAGAATTTCGCGTCCTGTCTCTCTCTCGCGATCATCTCAATCCCGATTTTCGCGATTTCCCCACAAGGGATGCCATGTAACACGTACGTTAATAATTTAAGCCCGAACAACGTTGCGTCACAAATTATTTAAGGGGAAAGGCTCGGAAGGCGCATTCGCTTCGTCGCGAAAATTCAACGAGGGCTATGTCGTCCGGTAATATAGATAATCGCAATTTAATCAATTACAAGAGAGGCAGGTTCGAACAGAATAAACTCATCAATTCGAATATTTTACTCTTTATTGCAACAATACTATACATTCGGCTTTTGACGTGTGCGTCGGCCGCGTCCGGGCTAAGTTCGTTCCGTGCGAATTAACGCACAGGAAACAGAACGTCACCTTACAATTTGTCCCGCGAATTCCGCGAGGGCGATGCGAATTCACGCATCTAACCACTCGTCCGCGTCCGGCCTATATGATGCTCGGAGAGAGAGAAATCGAGGCGCGCACCGATAAACCAAAAAGGGTACCTGACCTTGAGAGGGAGCGCTGCTGCGGAAGTCCACGTCCTCTGAGTAAGCGATGTAGTTCTCGAAAGGCAGGATTCTCGATGCAGCCGGTCTTCCTTCTTGCTGATGGTCGCTATATGGTACTCAACCGCACAAACACTCGTTATGGTCGCGAAGCTTGACTAGCTGGCAATTAATTGCCGGTCAAAACTCTACTGCCCGCGATCTCGCCTATCCCTCTAACGCCAGGCATCTCCGCCGATCAGGAATCAGACCTGCAACAAAGCCACATCGTGCGTCGATACTCGGTTTTACTCAACCAAGACCGGTGTGGCAGCGGCTCAGGGGAAGGCACGCGGAAGAGAGAGAGAGGCGAACAGGGCGATCGAATCCATCGATCTATTCGCCCGTCACATAACATTTGGATGAGTTATATTAGTTACGTTACTATCGCTGATTCGCAACCAATTGTCGTTCTGTCGTATGTAATTAATGTAATGTCCACTGCTATTAGATTGTCCAAGATGAACAATTACACTACTAATTTTGTATAGATTGTTATTGATTACAACATTTGTTAGTACATCTTTTAAAATAAAATTGTTAATTTTTAAAACTTCTGTACCTGTATGATAAAATAAATTATTTTGCATTATTAAAATGTTATTAGTAGTTGCCAAAGTTAATATTTCATCACATTTTCTCTTACTTTCATGACAAAAATCGCAATGTACATCACTTGGCTTAGGACTTTCTAAATTATTGTGAATCAATTCCTGTAATGCACACGTAAGTTCATCTAAAGAAATGGATAGAGGACATATATTGTTGTAATATGGATTCAGAACTTTTCTATTGTCACAGTAAGAACATAGCAATGTTGTTTGTAATTCATGTCGAACAGCCAATTTTATTTGTTGAAATTTATCGCACAAAAAACCAATGAACTCTGGTACATCTTGCTGACGATTTTGAACATAATCTTGATTTATAAATTTCCGTAAGTTGAGTATATCTACATGAACATTATTATTTTGATATTTTAATTTGTAATTGTTAAATACTTCATACAGTACATTGTGATGACCTGTTTCTATAATATTTCTAATTGATAAAAAATTAAATAAACTTTGTATGGAAGAATTTGCATAACAAGAAACACCGTCTAAATTAGGAAGTCCAGATATTTGCCAGTTAGTTTTCAAAGTAATATTTAAATTACCCACAACATTTTCTGAATATAGTCCAAAGTTTCTTTTAGTTACAGATAAAATGTTAGAATCTAAACTTTCATTTGTGTTTGTTATTGAAGGAAAATGTTGTAATTCGTCACTTTCAAATATTCTATAAAGATGATCACGCATTTTTTCCTGAATATAATTTGTAGTTGAAGGATTCTTATTTAAAAATACAGTTGTGGCAAATGCTATAGCATATACACCGCAATCCTTATAATTTGTTTGGTTTTGGACTTTTTCAAAAATAAGTTTATCATTGTCGAATATTTCATTTTTAATAAAGTAAGGAAATAATTGTTTCAAAAACACTTCTATGCAAGGATGTAAATAATGTTGATTTAGTGAATCAAAGATATGTACGAACTTAGTATCATAATAGCAACAAACCCAGTGGCCACCAACACATTTACGACAATTATCGTTACAACTGTGTAATATTTGTAAATGCACAGAATCTTTTGGAATAGGTTGAATCCATTGTTTATACGGATCTTTCATAATTTTTTGTATCGAAAGAGTACATCTTGGCTGAAATATTGGTGGTTTTATTAAGGAACACTGTCTTAATATAGAATGAAATTTATCAATATGAGTGTCTTTTAACCCATCTTTTATTATTAACTTATCTGTGTGGCACAATTTATATTTAAAAACCATAATGAAGTGCAAGTTATTATAGTAAAATAATTAAAAATTATTAATAAAAACAGTGTTATGTGAGACCTATTATGCTCAATTGATCGTAAACGAAAGTTTTAATATTCGTTGAATACGTCTCAAGAATTATTTTACGCGTTGGATGAATGTAATTGTTTAAAAACGTTGATCGTATGTTCTTGTGTATATTGGTATCAAGGATGTAGATACAATTCCGGTACAGTATATGACGAAAGTATTATTTTTTTTATTGTTTTTAATGTAGGTAAATATACGACGAAAGTATTGATGTAGGTGAGTTATTGATTACTATGATATGGCACAAATTTAGTATGGTACAGGTTGAATAATGGTACGGTACAGGTATTATAAAAATACTATGATATCGTTCAATTTTAGTGTAGTACAAATATAGTACGATGCAAGTACAATAATGGTATAGTTGAAATATTGATGTAGGTGAGTTATTGCGTACTATGATATGGTATAAATTTAGTATGGTACAGGTTGAATAATGGTACGGTACAGGTAAATTCTTTTCGGTATATATATGGTTGAATTGGTTATTTATTCAATTTATAGTACAAGCTTTTAATAAATATTAATATTACAATATATATTACAATATATAATTTAGCAGCAAACAAATGTGACAACCACTTCACTGTACTGTAGAATGTAGAATACCTACAGTACAATATAGTGCAGTAGACCTTTAACAAGTCGCTGAAGCCGCAACACCTGCAACAGACAATTAACAGTAATTAACTTATATTGAATCCTTCTAAGTACTATTTATAAAAAAATTTTACTGAAATTTTGATTCTAAGATATATGGAGCTATATTTAACTAGCATACTATTTAACGAATTTAATTCTTAAAAAGGAACAATAATGAATATTTTATTTCAATAATAATAGACAACACAACCAAGTATTCAAAATATCAAGTAGGTATATGTCGTAATATGTAAAATTATGGTTTATTTAAAATTATGGTTAGTGTTCAATTCAAGAAGTGACAATATATGTAAGTCCTTAACTCAACAAAAAAGTAAAAAAATTACTTCTATAGAGTGCACCAATATTAAAACAGTGCTGTAGATGTCAAAAAACGTATTTAGAATGTTTGAAAGTATGTATATGTGTATGAAACAAAAGTTTGGGACAGTTCTACTAAAGTAACTGTGCTAGTAAAATCACTGAAAAGAAGATATCTATTTTATATTCTTTCAAAGTAAAATAAAAAATCTACCTAGAGAAGGTCGATTTAAGGTCAAATGCTTGAAAAACTGCATAAAAGCGTTTTTTTAATTTTTAAGATATCGAAAAATGACCTCTACAAAATTTGTTCAGAACAGAGTGGGCCACCCAATGCACCAAAAACCTTTGACCTTTAACCTCATTTGAAGGTCATTTCAAGGTCGAAGTGTTTTTTGTAATGGAAACCCCTCTTTTTGACCCCGGATTCGCACATAGCGCGAAACTCAACACAATACCTTATCTAAACGTCAGATTTCGCGCTATGTGCGTATCCGGGGTTAAAAAGAGGGATTTTCATTACAAAAAACACTTCGACCTTGAAATGACCTTCAAAATGAGGTTAAAGGTCAAAGGTTTTTGGTGCATTGGGTGGCCCACTCTGTTCTGAACAAATTTTGTAGAGGTCATTTTTCGATATCTTAAAAATTAAAAAAACGCTTTTATGCAGTTTTTCAAGCATTTGACCTTAAATCGACCTTCTCAAGGCCATGAAAAAAAATTTAAAAATACCGTTTTGGACGTAAAATTTCCCGCTCTTTCTGAATCCGTGGTCAAAAATGGGGGTTCCTATTTAAAAAAACAAAGTTGACCTTGAAATGACCTTGAACATGACCTCCAAGGTCAAATCCAAGGTCATAGAAACATGGCCCCCTCAAAGTTGAGTAACTTTTGTCTGAAACTTTTTTCGATAAAACTTACTCCAATCTAGATATCTGAGTGGATCACTTAAAATGGGCCACCCTGTATATAAAATTAGCACACGTCAATTGAAAAGAATCAATTTATCTGTTTTTATTCACAAATTTGGAGAATTGTAACGGCCTGTAAAATAATTTGATTGATTTCGCAGCCCGTTAAAGATTTTAATTTAACTGGTCGGTGCGGGGCTTACCGCCGCCCCGATCAGCTAGCCGCTTCCTGGCGTTCCGCCGAATATGGGTGGATACGCGCTGCCCTGAAAAAGGATCGCGAAAGCACGGCTAAGCACGAGAGCGTGCGTGAGCTCTAGTCACGGGCGTGGGAAGGGACAGAGGTACCTCCCTAGGTACACCCAACACAACGTCAACACATAAACGGGTTAAACCAGGCTTTATTTATTTATATGAACTTCCTGTACAGTACCGCACGCCGAGGTTTCGCTTCGCATAACAATCTAAAGAGAGAGAGAGACGCTCGCTCGCGGCACTAAACGCACGCTAATTCATCACTTATAAACGGAGAGGAACTCACCGGGAAGTAGCTGCTGCAGACAGACTACTCTCTATTCGTCGCTCGCGTTATCGCCCTTGCTCGGGCGGGCAAGTTCTGCCCCTGGTGATCGCCCACTCTAGGCGACTGTCCACAACTAACGGCGACCTTTGAGGATAGTCCTTCTTTTCTCGCACACTCGCACTTTTCTTTTTCTCCCGATTTTCTCTCGTTTGCGCGCGCACGTGGCGATCACTCCCCCTCGCCGGTCTCAATCGAAGTGTCCCAAATCGTTTTTCTCCCCCCACTCTCCTGCTACGGCACGCGCCTGCTCTAGTCTCGCTCTGTCTCTCTCTCTCCGCTCCTCGCTCGCTTGCCCGCTTGGCCGCGCTCGGACTCGCGCGCGGACAATCCTCCGCGAAAACGGCCCCGGCCGTTATAGCCCCCTCCTAGTCGGATGATACCCGGGGTAATATTCGACGATTATAGCGCGGAATGGTTATACGAGGGTAAGGACTAGCGAGGTGAGAGGGGTGAAGTGAAATGAATGTGACGGTGACATGAGGTGAAAATTATTTATTTGGTTGCCCCAGTGGGCAATTATCAGTGGCGCCGGTGGCTGCGGTCGCGCCGGAATTCGCCGTGGCGGGTGAGATTCGGGCAACGTGATGATTTAGAGACGCCGGGATGCCCACAGACTTAGCATCCCTCGGCGTCACGGCGTGATTGGCCCTCTCGGCGTCCCTCCGGGTCGACGACGTTGGGGTTTGGGGCCCGGCTCGCGCTCCTCGCGCGACTCCGCTCCCTTCTCCCCAGGGAATGGGCCCTCTGCGGATGATGGTGTTCCGCCCAGCGCCCGTGACGTTGGCTGACGTTGATCGTCACCGTGCTTCCCCCGGAGGAGTTGGCGTCTACGCTCACGCGGCCGTGATGGGCTGGCTCCGGGGTCGCTGCGCCCTCGTTGTCCTGGTCGGGCGTTGTCTGAGCGGTGGGCCTAGAGACTGTAGGCCCTTGGGGGCGCTGGTTTTCCGTACCGGGCGCCCGGCGGAATTCCGGATAGGGCAATACTGGAGGGGGCGCCGAGAATACGGGCGGCTGCCCTCGTTGTATTGCCCGGACCGCCAACTCGTAGCGTTGCCACCGCTCGAGTTTCTCGAGCCACGGGTCGAGAAAGATTATTGCACCGGGTAGCTCCAGGAACTGCACCGACCTGGTTAGAACTCGGCGTTGGAAGCTCATGACGAACTTCCACGCGTTCCCGAGTTCGGTCAGCGTTCGCCCGATGCTTGGCCAGTCCTCCTCGCTTGATCGGCTCGCCCACTTGCACAACGGGGAGGTGGGCCAATCTGCACTCTCGTACGGCCGGCCGATGTAGGGGTACACGCGGGCAGGCCTCGGGGTATTTTCGGGGCTGCCGCCCATGTCCCATGACCTCCGACCGCACTCGGGGGGTGCGTCCCTTCGGTTCGGGACCTCCTCTCGGTGAGTTGCGGCTCCTGGCGCGCTCGTGGGTGGCCAGGTTTGTGAGGCCACCTCTTGCTGGTCGGGATAGGCCTGCGTCGATCGGTCCAGCCGGGTCGGCGTCGCCTGGGTGGACACCGCCCAGCGGAACGGCCTGACCTGGACTCCGCGGTGCACTGCTGAGCGAGGGGTCTGGGTTGTCGCGTCCTTTTTCTCGCTGGTGGTCTGCGAGGAGGCGTCCTGAGTTTTGGGCGTGGGGCGACTCGAACTTGGGGCGGGTCGCCCAGTGGGTATGCCCTTGGACGCGTATCGCCCGTACACCCACGCGTGCACTGACGTCTTTGGTGGCGGGGCGGGGTGGCTTCTGTGCCCGCCGCGGGTCGGCCAGCCCTCCGGGGTCTCACGGACCTCTTCCAAGGTGAGTCTTGGGCTCGGCCTTGGGTGCGGCGGCGCGATGACGCCCTCTTCCTGCAGCTGTTGCACCCGCAGGATTAGTCGGGCTCGGGCGTCGTCTAGCCGGCGGAGCACGGTGTCCTGTGCGATGCCCTCCCGGATCTGGTTGGTAATCCGGTCGAAGATGCGGGCGAACTGCGCATCCCTCTTCTCTCCGCCCTCCAACTCGAGGGCTTCGACGCGCATCCGCTCGAAAGTCTTGCGCGCGCCGACGAGGGTCCTCTTCTCCGACCGCTTGAGATCCTCGTGACGGGCGTGGCCGAAGAACCAAGCGGCGATTTCCATGACTGCGTCTTCCATCTGTAATGGGGTGACAATGAATGGTATGAGGTGAATGAATGATCATGATTGACGGGGGTAATGATTGCGAATGGTGCGGGTGCGGTCGCTAAGTCTTTTTCGGTCTTCCAGGCTTTCACTTGTTCGTTTCGACGGCACGGTTCAGATTCGGTATGGCCCACGTCGCTGTGCGCAGTACCAGGCGTGCCGTTTTTCGAGGCCGGCCCCGTGGCTTTCTCGCGACCACGGGCTGTGGACTTGCCGCTTGGACTTTGCGCGGCCGCCCTGGTCCCCGCTTCGCTGGCGCCGGCGCGGGTGTCGGATCCGAAAGCTCGCCCTGTTCGTCGGACTCGCTCTCGCTCGCTTGGTCGCACGCTTCGGGCGGGTCGCCTTTCGCCCTTATATCCCTCGGCGGTCGAGCCGCGTCTTCCCCATCTTCCGGCTGGGTTTGGTCTTTGCACTCGGCCGAGTCGTAGAACTGGCGGAGGTCTTTGGCGTGGACAAGGGTCTCCAACTCTTCTTGATGGTTAGCCAGTTTGAACGCGTTGTTGCCGCAAACTTTCGCGATAACGTATGGTCCGGTATATTTCGGTGCTAGTTTTGCTGCCACGCCTTGGGCCGCCGAGGAGAGGATCCGATTCCTCTTCCACACCCAGTCTCCGACCTTGAACTTATGCTGCCGATGCTTTTTGTCATAATAGAGTGCCTGGCGCTCCCGCTCGTCCTTCGTGCGTGCTGCGGCCTCATCATACCAGTCACTTAGTAGCCCCAGGTGTTCGGCCCATTCTGCCCTAGCTTGTTCTTCTTCGTTCTCCGCGCTTGCGGAATCTTGTTGGCGGCGCTGAGTGCCGGGCGGAACTGGTTGTCGGCCATAATTCAAAAGGGCCGGGCTGACCTTAGTGGTACTGTGTATGGCCGTGTTTAGGGCGAAGGACAATTCAACGAGCTTTTCGTCCCAATTTTTATGATGGTCTTCGAGATAGGTGACGATCATTGTCTTGAGAGTTCGGTTGTATCTCTCTGTTGGGTTGGCGTGAGGGCTATACGCGGGGGTTAGCCCGGACTTTATGCCTTGCTTAGCCAAGTAGTCTTCGACG